TACTCCTAGTGAACGCAAGATTATCTTCATCTTGACAGCCCATATGCTGTAGTTCGTTTCACTTAACGTTGGAAATTGGATCGGGATTGAGGCTCCTCTTGCCGTCGGTTTGATGACAACAAGTGACTTAGATGGATCTCCATCATTTTCGGCCATTTCTTTGACACCTTCTCTCTGATACCAAATGTTGGTTTTCAAAACCAAACTTTAAACGCCAACAAAAATGGAGGAATTTTTTTAGTAGTTCACACCCTCTACATTTTCTGGTTTAATTTATAAGCAAATACATAACATTTTTCTGAAAATAAAACTAACTAACCACTTAACGGTTTTCTTAACCACCTAACCACAAAACGGTTTTCAAAACTTCCTAATCCACATGAAAAATGTGCAAAAATACATAAACAATTTCTAGAGACAACTAGATTAACACAACATCCCTCATTCATTTGAGTGGACGGAGGACATCAAGAAACCCGTTAGAAAGAATGGGAAACCTGCCATAATTTTTACAGAATTTGAAGGTATTCAACTTGGTTCCTCCTTTCGTCTAAATTTGGTTGGAAAATTTCTATTTGGTCATCCCAAAATGGAGCTCATTCACAAATAATTTGAACTTATGCACCTTGTTGGAGAGTGAAAAATTGGACTATTTGATGGGAGACACATTCTTATTAAAATTAGTAATGAAGATGATTACATGATCTTATTTGCCAGAAGGATAATATGGATTGAAAACAGAACAATGAAAATTCTGAAAAGGTCTGTGAATTTTGACCCACAGACGGAATCACCAATCGTTCCGGTTTGGATTCGCTTCCATGGTCTGAAATTTCATTTTTTTTCTCAAAAAGTATTGTACTCTATTGCCTTAGCTTATGGGAAGCCACTCAACACGGACATCCCTATTTCTAATCTTTCCCGTCTATCTGAAGCTAGAGTATTTGTTGAAAGAGACATCACTTTACTCTCTTCTGAGGAAATTTGGTTGGACACACAACACCGAGGATATTAGCAGAAGGTAGTGATTGAGCCTTTTCCGCCTTATTGTTCGAACTGTCGTATGTTCGGATACTCCAATTGTCAATGCCATCATCTACTCCCTCACCTCAGACCAAAAAATCAAACTGCTCCGCTAGAGGCTGTGATTCCATCTCTTCCTGATCAACTCCAAGTTTTTTACACTATTGATCATCAAAAGGATACCCCAAAAGACGTCACTTTCCTCGCAGGCAATATGTCAACCATTTAGTCCCCACTTTAGCTCCCCCGTCTTTGGAATCTCTTATCGTGGGGGAGAGAGAGATTCTTCAGACTCTACCTGCCTTAGAACATATCACTGATAATACATGTGGAAATACTTCTACTGTTTCACGACTGTCTCATCAGGTCTAAAAAGATTTTAGTGTTACTCAGACTCATGGGGATCATGATGTGCAATGACCTACAACTGTCCGATCACCTTTGGAATCTACTGATCAAATGAGTTAATCATCGGATGAGGAATGTCAGGTCTACACATCCAGGAGGAAGAAGAAAAATGAAAATCTACATGAGCTCAGAAATCTGATAAATGATACTTTGGTTACTACAGACAATGGTACTCATCTTACTAATTTGTTAGCCGACCTACTTCCGAGAATTAGAGACAAGAAAACTAAAGTGGGACGTCCCTAGCACTTTTGTGTACTTTTGTGGTATTTTGGTTTTCTTTTTTTTTTCCCTTTATGTATCTTTGCTTTATTTGAGTTTATTTGTGTTTTTTTGTATGAGTTAGGTTTTTTAGGCGCTCTCATGCAGCATTTCTGTATCTTTTTCGTATTAATATATTTGCCTTTGGGTCTTTTCTCTATATATATATATATATTACTATATCAAATTTAAATAAATCAATTTTCCAATTTACGATTAGGTGGCTTTTCTAAATTTATTTTGGCATGCCTGTAATAGAAGCAACTAAATTAAGCTTCTGGTCGTTATATTTTTAACTTAACACTAAACAATATTTAATCTTTAAAGATTAATTTTGTACCTGAAATACTCTTCTCTTTTCTGATTTTGTCCCTCTCAATGAATGTATGTTAATAAGATCTAATAAATTTAAATGTAGGATTTTTGAATCTTCAATCAAAATAAGTATTAAATAGAAATTCCTATTATTGGGTTTGAGATTTCATGCTTAATCCAAAGAAAAATCTCTTTTTCAACTTTATTTCCTTATTGCCTTATTGTTTCTCACATTCGGCTCTCATAAACACTTGATCGTGCATGCGTGAGCTATTCTTGGCATTGGTAGCTTAGAAGGTTAGGTCAATTCACCCACATATGAAAGTTTTTATGCCTTCTCTTCCTCCGAGACCTCGAAAATGCTCGGGATAGAGCATCTCTGCATGCAAAATCTCCTTATTGAGCCAATCATGCTTTTCTGGGCGAAGGAAGCTTCTCTCGCACTCGCGCCCTCTTTTGCTCGGTTAGGGCACAAGATGTAGAGATCTTTCTTCTCCATGCCACATAAAATGGGAAAAAATATTACACCAGAACTGCTAACGTAGAGCCACGTTCGGAGTCCACTCATATGCGAACACGTGACTTCAAGAAAACGCGCACACTTTCCTGTGATCTGGCCCTGTAACACAGGAGAATATTCCTTCTGTGTTATTCTGCGTTATTCAGATGTTATTATGGTGATATTGATGCGTTATTGTGTTATTATAACACCAGGAATATTCCCAGAACACAATAACACATGAATACCACCACAATAACAAGTGAATAATGTGAAATAACACGGGAGGAATATTCTCCTGCTTTAAAACAAATTTTTTTATTTTTCCGTCACCTCTACGTGTCCGCATATGAGTGGACTCCGAATGTAGCTCTACGTTAGGAGTCCTGATGTAATATTTTTCCCATAAAATGGACGCATGGGCATTTATATGTTCGATCAAGCATCTTCTACACGAAGGAACACTTCTCGCATGCAATTTGAATCACCATCTCCTTTCCTTTCTCCAACGCTGCTTGCCTTTTCGATTTGAGCCACTCGTCTCCCCCTCTTTTTCCTTTTCCTTTTCTTCTTCTTTCCTCTGTTTCTTCTATTTCTTCTTCTTCGTCGATTTATTTTCCTCTATCATTCACGCTCTGTCTTTCTCTCTAACTCCCTCTCGCTTGCCTTCCATGTGCAGTGGGTTCAAATGAGAGGAGACTTCTTGATCGACACCTGTGAAACAGATGTTGTAATAGTAAATTCATTTTTTTTTAAGTCAATTTAAAAGTTTATAAGATGATTATTAAATAAACACTGTCGAGGAGCAGTAAAATGGTGGCAGTGATTGAAATTTGAACTGCCTGATATTCACGAATATTCACTGAAGATGGATTCTAGAATCCGATGTTGTTACCCTACTTGGAGAACTATTGTCTCCAACTAGTCTTTTTATTCTTTAAGAATTTGAAAACCATTCTGGGAGTAAACATTGGTTAACTGAACATACTGCAGGAGATTTTCTGAAAACTCAAATATTATGGAATTACTATGAAATAGGAATTTATTAATTTATTTATTTAATGTGTATTGGAAGTGCATACAAACAGTTCTCATTTTGTAACCTCACGAAATGCAGTTCATATATGATCTTCCAGCTCGACTTGGAAGGTGCATAAAAGCTGAAGCTTATGCAGATGCTGTGCGCTTTTTTACTGGTGCCAAGCCAGTTTTCGAGGTTTATTTATTTTAATATTTTAAATTTTTCTTTCAATTACAGCGTTCTTCATGCTTTGTTAGTCTTCTACTATAATTTATTTGGCTATTTACCTTATTGTTTCTCAAATATCTACAGGCATATGGTGATTCATCGTTTCAGGAATGCAAGAAAGCTTCTGAAGAGGCAATGGACATAGTTATTCACAATCTTCAGGTAGCTTTCAAAATTTGGTTTTAATTTCGATTTAAGTTTAGGGGTTTGGGGCAGCAATGTGGTGCGGTGGTGGTACCTTGGTGGCGTGGTGCCACATCATAGTTTTTTATGTTTGGCGAAACGTAGCTTTGCTTGTGTTCTCAAAAAAACTACAACTATTTTTCCACCAGATCTGGCTACTTATGGTGGCTGCTAGAAAGGTCTCCCTTTATCAAAAAAAAAAAAAAAAATTATAATAGCCACCGTAAATTTTTGAACAACAACTTCTTCTTCAAACAGCTTCACATTTGCTTCTTCAAGCTGCCTTAGTGTAGGTGCTTCTATCCACTCACAATTTTTGATACTCAGCTTTCAGTTTCAAATAGTAACTCTGTGGATTTGTATTATCTTGTAAGTTATTACATTTTTGTTTGATCACTGAGATTTTTGTAGGATCATTGTATGAACAAACCAGTTGAAAGTTTTGAATGGACTTAAGAAGCCATATCAAATATTTTTGGCTCATTGATACAGCATATAATGGCTTCTTTAATCAGTATGGTGAAATTTGATAGCCATTGTTGAATTTTCAATAAAGTGATTGCTGAGCATTTGTTGTCTTCACAAAACAATTGTCAGTGCAGCCCTAAGCCTACATAATAAAGGTTGAAGGTTGATGTTAGGTTGCCAATGGTAAAAATTTTGTCAAAACTTAAGAAAATGATGTCAAAATCCAAGAAATGAATCAAAGTTTTGAGTTTACTAGTTAGAGTGCTCCTTGGAACCCACTTTCTACAGCCTACCTCAAATATGTTGAGAAGTTGGCCAAAGTTTTTAATGGTTCCACTTGCATGTGACTAACAACATTTAGAAAAAGATGTGTAGTGGCTAGAACGTTACTCACAAATGGAGCTCCTCATCTGAAATATAGTCAACGAAGTTTGAGAGGTTTAGTTAGATCTCAAATTAAGATTTGATTTCCTGCATGAAATTTGGGGCTGCGAGTGGTCGGATTGCCATTACTGAATACAACAATTAGATATATATGAATTACATGTTCTCAAAGATATTTTTTCTTCACATTAATTATTAAAGGTTACACAGCTGTGTATACATCGATTTTCTGCAATATTTTGGTTGGATCAAACAAGGAAACATCATAGCATTTACATTTGTACAAAATTTGAATTAGATGGATATACTTGAAAAATCTATAAATTGAATCGAATTGGAAGAGATTAATAATCAGACGAAAACAGCCCTTGTGTAGATCTGTTCCCGTTTGAAATGAAGTAGCAGGAATATATGGTCTAGTTCTCAACAGTACATGGGCTATGTGCTACCATATATGGCTGCAACAGTCCATGGGCATCAAGCTTTTGTTTCTGGCTGGTTATAATGTACCGAGAAAGATAGAGGGTTATGAACATGATATGATTTGAACGCAAAATGCAATTGAAAATATTTGACACAAATACACATTGGACACATCATTATAGTATATTTTAGAAATTTAAAATATTGTAAATAAATATGAAATGAATTGATATAATTTTAAATTTATTTGTATAGCTCATAAAATAAGAAATATATTTAAATTTATAAAATATCTTAAATTACTGGAGGAAATAGAAACCACATAATATCATAGATTGGTAACTTGAAGTTTAATGAATTTGTTCTTCTGCAACAGAAAAAAAAAAATTATTAAAAACATGGAAGTTATTGCAAAATATAGAAAATAAAGTTAGGGTTAAGTGACTATTAAGTTATTTATATAATAGGTTTTAAAATAGAAGAGAATATGTGATTTACCTTGAGCTATTTATGTAATATATTTTAAACTTAAAATTTAGTATTTTGGACATATTTATTATTTTAATTGGATGTGCAAATGACATATGTCTGTGCTCTGTTTGTTTTTTACACTGCATATTTTTTTATCATAGAGCGTCAATGCATCACAGCTGACTTTAGATGGATGGACGCAGGGCATTATTTCTCCACAATCTCCACCTATTCATTCCAACATTGGAACTAGGTCTATAATTGAGTCGAGTTGAAGTGAGTATGTTAATGATTGGATTTAGCCTGGTCATATGATACGATTTGATGTATAAATTGGCATGCGTTTCCACATAAATTAGGGTAAAATAAATATTTTTATTTATAATCCAAAATAACATGAATATAAGGACAAACACCTACAATTTGAGAGTTAGGCGATCTCTTTGAATTCCTACAATTCGAAAGGTAGGAAATATCCCCAAACCCTAAAACTAATATGCACAACAACAATTTCATGCATAAACATATTTCTAAAGATAATAAGTGTATTTATACCTAATAATAATAATAATAATAATAAAAGACTACCTTGACCTTAGGCGTACAAAAGACCAAATTGTCCTTAGATTAGACACCGACGTAGCAATACTCCATTCTAAATGACACCTTATCCTCAATGTGAGAAAAAGTGAAAGTGTTCATTCTCCTCCACCGCAACTGTCTATTTTTTCATCCTCTACCTTCTCATCATGTACTACGAGAACTTGTAATTTTCAATCTTTGCAACTGTTATGGGGTAAATTTCTCATCACACCGAAAATATAACCCTTTGAATCGTTTCCTCTGAATTTTTGTTTCTGTAAGGCGCTTCAGTGTCGCTCTCAGTCATGACCCGTTATTCCAATCCCGTGCAACCTCCGTCCGGACTTCTACTGTTTGAGCTTTGGTATTGTCATGAATGTTGCAGTTTAATACGACGCTCCATCTGTGCTACTCTTGATGGCCCTTTATATCTGATTCTTGTCCTCTACCATTCAGGCTAGCTCCTTGTATCCCTCATTTTGGAGTGCTGCCCATATGTCGAGATTTAGGCCCTACATGAAATTAGTCTTTAATTTGACTTCAGAAATTTCTCTCAGTCTTTCTGATAAGAGCTCGAATCTCTTCCTATATTCCATTACAACTTCCCGAGTGAAGGCATAAAATTTCTCGTGTAGGTCTCCTTTCTGAATGGCTTGTAAACGTTTAAATAAACTATCCTTTAATTCCTGTCATGAACGGATCTTACATCTATTCTCCCTCAACTGAAACCATTCTAGGGCTTTCCCCTCCAAACATAAGCCTACTGCCATGAGTTTCTCCTTCCCATCTAGCCCGTTCACCTCGAATTATCGCTCCATTCAATATACCTGCCCATGCTCGACTTTCCGTTTGAAGATCGACATGTTCAATTTCCTAACTTTAGCATCACCATCTCAACTTTCTCTTCTTCTGCTATTTTCCCTCATGTATTGAGGGTAAAACTCTCTTTTGATAACCCTTTTCTGACTTCTCTTCTTTTTTCTTCACGCTCCTCCATACCCCCTGCATAACCCCTCCATGTTTGACTCACCGTTTGCATCAGAAATCTCTAATCCATCACACATCGGAGCCGTGGGAGGAGGTTTTTAATGGTGGATGCTTTCCTCCTCATATTTCTCTCGTTAGATCTCTTTCTCTTTCAATTTAGATAATGAATCTTCAGTTAGCCATTGGGTAGGGTTTGCCAATTGAACCACCGTCGGTGTCTTGGATTGCATCTCAATAAACTTCCTCAGTCTCTCCTCCAAGCTCTCGAATTGGTTATCAATGGTAGAAAATCTTTCCTTTATCTCGTATTTAAGTTGCCCCATTTCTTTCTTTGATTTCTTCTTCAAACCGTCAATTTTCTTGACCACCATTACTTCCAGTTATTAGGGTACGTTCGTTCCCAGATTTGATTGCTGACTTATAGGATTACGATTAGGGCATGCCCGATCTCCTTGTATCCTTCCCAACCACACCTCGATCCCTTTTGTTTCTCATATAACTTGAATCTTGTCACGGGCTTGTCTAAATTTTTTGATAATTATATTTGACTTGTATTTATATTCTTTATATTAATTTAATGAGTGTTTCAAAAAGTTATTGAACGAAGTAAAAGTTCGAACGCGTACTTAACTTTTCATAGAAAATTATTATTAAAAGATATTATAAAACTAAACAAACGAACAATTAAATAAATTTTGAATTAGTATCTAACTAATTTACACTATTTAAATAAAATAACATATAAGTGCAAGTGAATTCTTTGTAAGAAATAACAAAAAATATTATTAATAAATTAGTTCATTGAATAAGGAAATAGGGAGTCACATTAAATTAATATGCATATTTACTAATGAGAAATAAATTATTTGAAAAAAAAATAAAAAAGTTATAATTACTTATCTGATAAAAAACATATTATTTAAAATATAACAAAAATGCATTTATCCCACAAAGTCGTGTAAGATCTCATTTAAAATAAATGAGGCAAAATCATAAAGGGAGAATAGATAGGTTGAGGCTACCCAACATTGAGTAATCTGAGATATGTGCAAAAAAATTAAACTTCATGATATTGTATAAATAATCCGCATTATCCAAATTAGTAAATAGATATTATGTATTTATTAAATATTAATTTAGTTAATATTTAAAAATATGGTAGATTAAGTATGGTAGATAATGATGTATTAATTAATAAAAAATTAATAAAATAAATATGTAAAAAATGTTTAAAACTAAAGTATTATTGATATTAAAATTTTATATTATACTATTAAATAAATTATAAGTTTTTGTTAATTAAAATTTATTTAAGTAATGTATCATATATGATATTAGTTATAACCTAGCTTAATAACGAGTTATTTGTTAAACAACAAATAAATTTTTTCTTGAAAATAAATAAACGAGTTGGAACGTATTTGAGTTTGGGTCATTAACTTTTGAGTTTTTAAAAAAATATTCAAATTTATTTATTTATTATTATGAATAAGCTTGATTGAGTATTAATGAAGCCGACATTGAGTTGTTCATCAAGTGCATTGGATTGAAGTCAGGAAAATAGGTCATTCAAGTCTCTTCACAATAGTATTTGAATTAACCTGTCAGGAACTTGAAAATTGTTGGAGCGCATCTTAATTTAATAAAATTATTATAAGCAGTTTTATGAATAAATTAATGATAATTTTTAATGTAGTTGATCCTTTTATGATAATATTTTCTTAACAATATGGGCAACAAATTGATTTTTACAATGAACACTCATTGTCTCTTTGATTTTGACCCAAAATTATTCCAGCTGTTTTTTGATCCAAATTGCTTCTTATATTATCTCGAGTCATTACATGAAATTCAACTTCTACACTAATAGCTACCACAAACTGTTTTTTGCTTCTATAGATATTCACATCACCCACATTGAAGTTCATTATTTGGGTTCCGACTTCTGATCACTGATTAAGGCAACTCAACATGTATTACAATAGATTCTTGCCTCACAATTTGAGCTTTTTCTAAAGAATAATACTTTTCGTGAGCAAAATTAAGTTGCTTTAAATATTGTAGGCAACCTCCATATGCTTTTTCATTGGATCATTCATAAATTGGCTTACAACACTGATATTAGAGTTAAATAAAAAACTACAACAGAATGATAAATTTTTTGTTGAAATTCAAAGAAGCTACAAACAAGACACTTAAAAATAAGAAAGCAATGAAACAAACACAAAAGACTCCCTAAGGCGAGGACCAACGGTAGTGTGTTGTTTGTCGAGGTCGTGGAAACGAAGAACTGTAGGTGGTAGGGAGGTTTAGTAGTTGTGAAGGGACAGTGAGTTGGCGGCTTGACAACAAACAAAAGGTTGCTGGACCATGCGACAACAAGCTTGTGAAGTTTTGTGGTGGCTAGACATGAAGCAGGAGGCCGAGTTAATGTGCTGCAATTGATAGTGGGGTTGTGGGAGGGTGTGACAACAAATGGAGGTTGCTGGGTAGCGAAGCGTGTGACAATATGCCAAAATTGGATTGGGATGGCTGGACAGTAACTCAGTTATTGCTTGAGGGTACGACAACAAGCTACGACGATTGGAAGGGGAGACAACAAGCAAGGGAAGAGTATGAGGAGATAATCACTACATTAGAGCAGGATATGACCTGAGAACCATATAACCTCAGATACAACTCTAGCAAAAACTTGAAATAAAAAATTGACCTAAAACACAAAAAATAATATATAAATATTACGAGTATAGCTAATGGTGGGGCCTTCTCAGTCAGGTCGCAATTTTCCGTGAAGGAGCGATTTTGCGGTCCTCTCTTTCCTCGGAATTAACTGGTTCACGTGAAAGAATGGCCAATTCAGAGGTTAGGCCTTCACGACTCATGTCTCCTGTCTCGTGCGGGAGGCGCTCTTGCGCCGCATCGATGCACCCGCAACTTGCATGGGATTCCGTGTCTTGTCTGGGAGACACACCCGCGTCAAACACTAACTTAAAAATCAATAGCTTTCCTTTTATGTGAATGATTTATAAGTCTTTGTGCAAGTCTTTGACTTCATCCTTTGCCAAATAGAGTCCCTTCTTTCACCTTTTATAAGTTTTGATGTATACTTTATTGGTGTGTTTGTTAGTTTACAACCCAACATTTCATATTTTGTTTGAGCTGTATAGAGGACATTTTCTTTGGAAGATCTCTTCTTTTAATCTAACAACCTCAATTTCTACAAAATATTGAAGATTAATCTTTGATTTTAACTTATCTTGCAAAATTTTCTTGAATTTAGTCATTTATTTTTCTAAATTTTTATGTAACAATTATGTTAGCATAAATAGTAAAGATTGAGATCCTACTTCAATTGACATTGATAGTGTGATTGGCTTGACATTCGTAGTAACCTTGGTGTCTCCCCTTTTTTTATCTCTCAAACCAAGCTCATGCAGATTTGTTTGAGTCCATAAAAAAATCTATTTGATTTGTGCATTTATTTTGTTAGTTGATTCTCAAATTCAGTAGGTGGCCTTGTGTACACTTTTTCCTTTAAATCTTCATTTAAGAGTACATTTGGACATCCAATCAGAAGAGGGGTAACTCCAGATTTGTAGCCAATGTAGAAGGACCCTAGTTGATACCGGAGTTAACCCAAACCACGACGCTAGACACGAATTTATTAATCACCTAAAAAGATGGTTACAACAATGACTCAAATGAAAGAAAGACACCACATAATTCAGAACATAAAACAAATCATTACAAATAAAGACCAAATCAACAAAGACACATCAAGCTCGATGAGAAGGGAGTTTGGAGAGATGGGGCTGGAATGACGGCTACGATGAAGGCCGGAGCGATGTCGAGCGACTAGGGAGGAGTGGGACAACAATTTAACGCTCGTCGAGGCGTGGAATTGCAACCGAAAGAAGCGTGAAATGTTGTTGAAGGATGGAATCCGTAGGAGGCAATGATGGCGGCCGAAGCTGAGAAGCGGAGGCAAGAGTGGCGCTCGAAGCCGAGGAACGGAGTCAAGAATGGCGGCCGAAGTCGAGGATTAGATAGTGGGCTGCTGGAGTTGAATCTACAACCGCTGTTGGCCTGATGATGGCTGCGGCCTGCTTGGAGGGAGGAGGCAGGGGATTGGAGACCAGATAGGGGGCTGCATCCTGCTGTGAGGGAGGAGGCAGCTGCTGCGACAGTTTGCAGCAGCTGCAGGGGAGCTAACGACAGCCTGGGAGAGCAGCAGGGGCGGCGATAATCTGCAGAGGGGGCTGTGGGGAAATGTCGACACTCTGGGAGAGGAGCAGGAAATGAGATAACCTATAGGGAGGCTTCAGGCTTATTGGCAGTTGTCAGAAAGGTAGCAGGGAGGGCGGTAACATGCAGGGAGGTTGCAGGAGGAGTGTTGGCGCTCTGGAGGAGTTGAAGGGGGGTAGGGAAGTTGCCGGCTAGATTGGTGGAAGGGCTGAAACGTCGGCTAGCTACAAGACTGTGGGTAGTAGTCAGAACATTGTAGATAAACACCACTTCAGACGGGGTTATAGCCGGAGCACCTTCCTTGTCGCCAGATACAACCCTCGAGAGACAAAATACGCAGATAAAACTGAATTCAGATTTCGATATCAAAACCCCTAACTCTAGACACATCACTCCTATATATAAAAAACTTGACCCAATTTGGGAAACATTTAAAACAAGGAAGGAGTAAAAATAAAATCAAGTTCTCAAATTTTAGGAAAAGTTTAAATTAAGGAGAATAAAATCAGCATATAAGCTTTTAGGAAAGGATTTAAATTAGGAAAAGGCCTAGGAAGGAACAAAGGAAAGGAAGAAAGGAAAGAAAAGGAAGGGAGAAAAAAAGAAAGGAAAGAGGAGGAAGGAGGGGGCGGTGGGGCCTCCTTCAAGAGAACCGGCCGGTCCCTCATAAGCCCTGCGTCACTAGTTGTTTTGAATTTTTCCATGGTTGCAAAAGTCTCTTAATAGTGAATGCCATGAGACTAAGTGTGTCCTTTACAACTTGCCACACCTTTTATTTGTCTATGTTTTAAACTTCCTTGTGCTTGACAGAGAAGATCCACCTACACCCATTTGGGTTCTTTTCTACGTGCAAATTAGTTATCTGCGAAGTTTGACTCTTTTCTATGGCATGAATCTCCTCCATAATAAGAGATGGAATTGTGATGGGCATGTTATGTGCTTGATCTCACTCCTTTTCTTATAAGAATGGACCAATTTTAGTCATCCTCAAGTTGTTCATCTATAATAGTTTGGAATCAATTGGAGTTTTGATTAGGCTCAATGCGAGCCCATTATTTTCCCTGCTTAACAATATTTTGTCTAGTATATACCCTGAAATCTTTGTTGAGAGGGAGATCCTTCAAAGTATGTTGAGAAAATTTAGTTCAATTGAAACTAACATTGAAATGCAGCTCAAAAGAAAAACACTAGCAAGCAAATTCCAGCTTCAAAAAGCTAGGAAAGCTTGGCTGAAGACATGCACCGGTTAGGTTAACAATCTAGTTGTCCATCATAATTATTAATCATGTTCCATATTTCTATCCTTGATGCAATTTTTTTTTTTCATCAACAATGAAACTAATGTATGCTCTAAAAGTACCATGATCGAGTTTTATGCAATGTTTGTATCTTATCATCTGATGTATGATTCCTCTTATTTCATGAGTTCGCAATTCTTTTTATTCTATGTATCCTTTTTGCCGTCTAGTAGTTTTAGCAATTGTCTACTTTTCTCTCTTTTACAAGAACTACCGACTGAAATGAGGCTTGTTCAATTTAAAGTTTTATATTGTTTGTTTTTTATCTTTCAAAACAAGTGTGGTATATTTCTTTTGTTGTCATTTTTTCAGCGCATACGTTGTTCTTTGAGATCTATCTCTTAGATAAGAATTTACTTCCATTCTTTGCAGGAAAAACTTTCTTCCGAGTCGGAACCCATCGAAGCAAGGGCTGAAGCAGTTGTTCTTCTTAAACAACTGAATTTTCCTGTTGGTATTTTTCCTTTCTTTTTATATTATATGATGCCTTTCTTTGTTAATACATGCTGCATTTTAATATTTCAGTGTCCTTTGAGTTGATATGGTCAATAGTAGGGCTGTAAACGAGCCAAGCTTGAGCTTGGCTTGTGTTAGACTCGTTCAAATTACTCATGTTTGAAATTGGCTTGTGTTCAAAATTGGTCATGAACAATATATTCGTGTTCGGATCGATTTACATATTCTTGTGCATATTCGACTCAAAATGGGCTCATTTAAATTAATTAGAAAAGTAAATGTAGGGTGTTTGATTCGAATCTACACTTTTTTCATGTAACAAAAGATGTAAACCACATGACCACATTAGCTGTAATGATTTAAACTTAGATGTAAATATATAAAATATATTATTAAATAAATTATATATATATATATATAATATGATTTATATATATTTTTGGCGGCAATGGTTTCTTCAGCTCTGCTAGGGTTTCTGGCAATTTCATGGAGCCGAGCTTAGGTCGTCGGTCATGGAACGGTCTTACGCCGGCGTCACCTCCGGCGACAATGCTAACGACATCTCTTATTTTCCCTCCTGCTTATCATGACTCGCTAGCCCTGAGTTTAGCTTCAGCAAATGACTAGGTAAAAAAGGAGGTAAGCTCGCTTTTTTGCTCTCTTATTCTGAGAATGCTAATATGGCTATTTCCTGTCATCTCGGTATGGTGGGGAAATTCGTGTATGGTCATCCTAAATTGGAATTTCTCCTAAAACATTTTGAACTCATGAAGCTAGTTGAAGGTTGGAAAATTGACCCTTTGGATGTTAGACACATTTTGATTCAATTAACGAGCGAAGAAGATTATACACGGTTTTTTGCCCGTTGTTTAGTGCGGTTTGATGATTTTGTTATGAAAATATTGAAGTGGTCGGTTGATTTCGACCCTATAGCCGAACCCCCTATTATTCCCGTGTGGATCAGACTCCCTGTCTTGAAGATTCATTTGTTTAATCACGAGATCCTGTTTTCTTTAGCTGCAATTTTTGGAAAACCTCTGAAGTTGGATTCCGCCACCTACACTTTATCTAGACCTTCTACGACTAGAATCCTTATTGAACGTGATATCACTTTACCATCTCCTGATAAGGTTTGGATCGACTCTGCGTATAATGGTTATTGGCAACAGGTGATTCTAGAGCAAAATCTCTCTTACACACTGTCGTATGTTTGGCCATGACCCCGTTCAGTGTTTTCACTTACATCCTGAGTCGCGGAAGCGAAATATGGTGAATCATAATGGTGGGCCTAATACAGACCAAACCCCCAACTCACATTCTCTGCGGAAGAATTGATTCAGGCTTTTCATGCTGACATGAATACCAATTAAATTGGGCCTATTTCTCCTCGAGTTAGGAGTGCAGATATGGCTCCTTCTGAGGTTGGACTTCATGCTGACCGGGAAATTCCCACTCCTCCATCTGAACATATTGGCCCTATTTCTCCTCGAGTTAGGAGAGTGCATCAGGCTTTTGAGGAAGTTAATCTTCCCGCTGTCTGGGAAGCTACCCCCCCTCCTGAAACTAATAATCATTTTGAGAATGTTATGCTCCATCTCGACACTGCCGCTGTGGCCTCTGACATCCCCTTGGAGGAGGTTTCAAATATATTGAGGGAAGAATGACAAGTTCAGAAATATCGTAGGAAAACGTATAAATGCCATAATAAATTAGAAAATCTGAAGATGGGAAATGCATTGACTTGTGTTGATCATTATTATTCAGAGGGTAATTACGAACACACCCGAACTAGATTTTCTAGAAAGGGTAAGTTGTCTATCCATGTTTAATGTCTTAATTTGGAATATCAGGGGAGTTGCGGATTCTTACTCTCTTGGTAGACTTAAATTAATGACAAGGATCCATAAACTTGATATTTTCTCTATTTTGAAACCTATGGTATCTTATCCAGATGTTCGCATTCTGGGTAAATTCAAGCATTTTTCTTTCTTTAGTAATTGTTCTAATATGATTTGATTGTTTTGGCGGAAGCACATCACAGTTAATGTTATTGCTGATGATATACAATTTGTGCATGTCTATTTCTCTATGGATGAGTTTTCGGGATGACTGACATTTGTATATGTTGGGTCATCTACTTCTGCCAGATATGATCTTTGGCACAAATTCTCTAGTGTGGGAGTGTTAATCCAAGATAATTGGATGGTTGGCGAGGATTTTAATATGATTATGCATGGTTATGAGAAATTGGGACGAAGGAGAGTGGATCCCGCTTTGATGGATAAATTCATCGGTGCTATCGATATTGCTGACTTTCTGATTTGGGTTTTGTTGGTTCCAAGTTTACTTGAAAAAGGGGGAAACTTTTTGAACGTCTTGATAGGTGTTTTGCTAATCAGTCGTGGATTTCCTCTTATGACTTCTCTCAAGTACAACATCTTTGTAGTTCTGGGTCTGATCATAATCCCCTCATTTCCTTTGATTTTTTTCAAAAATGTTTCTAGATACCACTTCAGATATTCAAATGTCTGGGCAAGACACGATGATTTTCTGAGAATTATTTCAGCTAATTGGAGATTTGTTGAAGTGAGCAGCGCTTGGTTTATTCTTTGGAAGTTACATAAGAAAGTGGCATCTGCTTTGAAACATGAAACTGGGAAGTTTTTGGTGATGTCCATGCTTGGGTTATGTTGACCTCACTTTTGGTTGAGGTCTAGAAAACTTTTTTTAGTAGCCTAGGTCTAGCCATAGGACTTTCCTATTGACTAGTCTTAGAAAATTAGAAAATGTACCCCCACCATTAGAAATTCAAAACTCTTCTTTTTACTTAACTTGAAATTTCACATAATGATCTTAACCTCTAGCATTTAGTAGGTAAGATCATTATAAGAGAATTCAAGAAGAGTCCCTATAGGATTATTTGGCTTTAGGATTGACCCTGGGTGTTGACTTGGAACTAGGGTACACCATATCTTCACAATATATTAATC